AAATGCTTAACCTTTTAACTTAGGATAAATTATATTTTGCTCCTTTTATATTTGGTCATTTTTTCACTTTAATTCTTGAATTTTTTTTCTCGCTTTGACTCTTTATATTTGAAGTTTTTTTTTTTTAGTTTACTCGTAAAACTAGCTTATATTCAAAATTATTAAAACATATTGCGTTAATGTCACGTAACATAAAAATATATATTATTATATTAGAGTTTGAATTTATGTGAGAGATGTAAGTTATATATAATAAAATGTTTTTATATTACGTGACTATTAATTTCGTTTTTTATTTAATTTTGGTCACAAATTAAATTTTAAATTAAATTGATAAAAACTTGAAATTAAAATAAAAAACAAAAAAAAGTAAAAAAAATAACAGGAGAAAACAAAAAGATGAGGGGCAGGGGAAAACGTGTCCCAAATGCCCAATTCAATGAAGAGGGGCAGGGGGGAAGTGTTTGCTGGGTAGGGGCCCACAAAAAGATGAGGGGTCCAGACCAGGGAGCCCAACTATGGAGATGGGGGTTGGACCACTTTTGAGCAAGTGGGCTCTCGATGGCTAGTGGTGGTGGAGCTCAGTGGTCACACTCCTCAGCCCTTTGGGCCCCCAATGTCAGAGGTGAGTGTATTAGGAAGGCCTTTGGTCACCCAATAACATCATCACCACCACTTACAAAAAATGGTAGGGTCCACACACTTTTTTTTTTTTTTTTGTTAAGAATGTGTTTAGATACTAAATTTGTGAGGAAAAAGAAAAAAAGATCTTGATGAATTTGTGTAGGAATTAGTGAATGAAAATGTAAAGTAAAATATTTGTGTGGAGATTTATAAAAACTAAAGGAAAATGAAAGGAATTTATGAATGAATAAATGAATGGGAAAGGGAAAAAGAAAAGAAAAGAAAAGAAAATAATATCTTAATTTTTTATACAGCAATTTGTGAATAGGAAAGAAAATAGATGACATTTGTGGATTAAATAGAAAGTATCGTTAAATCACAAATCTATTTTTTTTTTTAAATTTATATTTAAAAAATTGCTTAAGAAAATTATATAGGGTAAATTATAAATACATTATCTGAGGTTTGATTAAAATGCGAATTGTCTTATGTGATTTTGAAAATTACATTTCACCCCATAAGGTTTCTAATTTCATAATCAATCGCCCTTTTTATTAATAAATCATCAAGTCAATTAATAGTTTTTAATGATGTTAAAAATATGTTTTATTTATCAATTTAAGTAATTTTATTATTGTATAGGAGAGCAATTATAAATTTTATTTTTTTAGTTACATCTGTTAAATAAAAAATTCTAATAAGGGAGTATTTGTAATTTTTCAAATTATATGGGGCAATCTATATTTTAAACAAATCTCAAGAGGTGCATTTGTAATTTATCCTAATACATTAGTAAACAAAACTTAAAATCAAGTTGATCGGATATAAATAACCACATGATCAAATCATATTAGTCTGAAAAATAATTATTAACAAACAATGTAATTTTAAAAGTGGTTCGTTAATTATATTTTAGGCAAACACGATTCGATTGAGGCTCCGTTTGGCAAGAGCTAAACGAGACTTTTTTGGCTATTTTAGCCACAAAAGACAAAATAGGCTATTTTAGCCACAAAAAATAAAATATCATATCTAACCCATAATCATTATATTCTTCTCTCACAAAAAAAGTCAAAAAAGCCAAAAAGCCTTTCCCAAACCAAACTTTTTAACCCAGGCTAAAATAGCTAAAAAAGCCAAAAAATCAAAAAGCCAACGCACTTTCCAAACGGAGGCTGAGTGGCATCTAATGTTTGATCGACGTGATTCTTGATATGCATAATCTTTTTGAAAAGTTTTATAAAATGAACAATTTAAATTATTGAGATATATTTGAAATAAATTCATAGTGAGCCGGACTAAAATAGATTAGACTAGACTAGACTATCGAATATCACAATTAGAGAGAATCCAATCTCCTAACCATTCTTACGGAAATTACACTAACTACTCTTGAGGTGTTAAAAATATATAATAACCTTCAAAGTATCTCTTTTAGCCCTCCTTTGGAGAAGATTTTGAAGCTAAATAATCACAAAAAGATAAAATTGACTATAAAAGCCTATAAGACAAAATATTATTTTTTTACCTATAATCATTATATTTTTTCTCTCATAAAAGTCAAAAAAAATCCCAAAACAAAAACAAATGAGACTAAAAAAGTCAGACTCTTGAGGTGTTAAAAATATATAGGCGCTGTTTGGGAATGATGATTTAAGACTATTATAGCCTAAATTGCAAAATTAGCCCAAAAGTAAATACTGTTCATAATTTTCCAAAAAAAAAAAAAAATTTTTGTAGGCTGCAGCCGGGCAGTGTAGGCTGTGCCTACACAGCCACAGCCGAAAATTGTAACATCATGGGCTAAATTACCATTTTGCCCCTTTATATCCAATTAAAAAAATATAATTTAGGGACAAATTTGTCATTTTAAATTCAAACATCATTTCAACACACTTTTCAATACAACAACTCAACTAAAAATTCATCTCATCTTCTCAAACACAAAAACTAAAATAGCCTACTAAAATAGTCAAAAAGCCAAATAGCCTACTAAAATAGCCACTTCCCAAACGAGGCCATAATAACCTTCAAAGTATCTCTTTTAGCCCTCCTTTGGCGAAGATTTTGAAGCTAAATAATCACAAAAAGATAAAATTGACTATAAAAGCCTATAAGACAAAATATTATTTTTTTACCTATAATCATTATATTTTTTCTCTCATAAAAGTCAAAAAAAATCCCAAAACAAAAACAAATGAGACTAAAAAAGTCAGGCTAAAAAAGTCTCAATATAAAAAAGTTAACTAAAAAAGTCAATGCCAAACGAACCCTTAAGACTAAAATCACATAAATTCATACAAATATTATGTAAATGCAAATAACAATAAAGCAAAATATACAATTAAGTGTAATATCATTTTAATCCATGCAGCTTGACTACTGACAAAATAGTGTTAATCTATTTTAGAAGACGTGTTTGGGTTGTAGGGATTTATTTTGGTATGCACAAGTTGGCTTAGGATACCTAATTATAGTAACGGTCTTTATAGTTTGGGTCTTGTATTATTTTGGTCCATGACCTTTCAATTATGATATATTTAATCCTAAATTTTAAATCTTTTTTCAAATAAAAACAATTGAAGATATCGTTACTCTATTTTCAAAAAAGTTATCAATTTGATAAAATATAAACTAATTTGACAAAAATAAATATCAAAAAATTATTTTTAAAATTTTAAAAACTATTCTACTCACAAAAGATAAAATTATATAAAAATAATAAATCTTTTACATTTTTATTTTTTTAAATATTTTTTTACCAAATTAATTTTTAGTATGTGTTTGGATAATAATCATGTAATGAGTGGTTATTTTTGTTAATATTTTTAGATGGTTATCATGTAATAGATAGTTGTATTTGTTGTTAAGAGACATTTTTTTTTATGGTTATCATGTAATGGATGGTTATTAGTCCATTAATTGATATGTTTAATATATGAAATATTTTTAGTTTTAGATTTTTTGATTTAATGAATTGGTTTAATAATGATATTAAAGTTGTCTCTATATTTAACTTTTGAAAAAATAGAAACTAATTTAATGAAAATAAATATAAAAAAATTATTTAAAAAAAATTATTGCTACCCTCCCAATAAATGAAATTAAATAAAATGTGTTTTTAATTTTTTTCACTAATTTAATTTTTAGTTTCTTAAAAAAAATTCTGAAAACTAAAACCAAACAAAATTTATAACCAAGAAAGTTTCAAAATTATTCATTAAAAAAACGGCCATTACATTTCAAATAATATACAAATTAACCAGTACAAAAGAAGTTGTATGACCTTTGAAATTGACCGTTTGTAAAGGAAAAACTTTGATTGTTCTTATTTGAAATAAGATTCAAAATTTAAAATCAAATGTAACATAATTGAAAAGTCAAAAATTAAAGTGATACAAATTCTAAACTACAGAAACTGTTAATATAATTTGCTAAAAAAGAATTAAATTTAAAAAAATTAAAATTTAATTGTGTCAAATACGTGCATAATGTTTATACTCAGAAACATTTTTACAAAAAAAATAAAAAATGTATAATTCAAATTTGTTATTGTATAAAAGAACGCAGACATCATTAATAAATTTGAATTATACATTAAATATTTTTGTTTGCTTAATTTTTAGTTTATATATTTTTATTATACAGTGATTATTTATTTTTTGTTTTCAGGGGGAATGGAATTGGCCCATGGTTTGGCCCAAGCCATTGGAAGTAGGACCCACCACGTGTCATATATCTGGTTGGTCCAAAGAGTTTGTCAAAAAGGACTGTTAACCGTTGGATTTTCCCCCATCATCTCTTCTGCTATGGGTGTTGGGAAACTTCGGTTTGGAGGCTTTTTTTTAAAAAAATAATTAATAAAGGTAAAATAAGTTATAATAATTAATAAAATAAAATATTATATTTAAATTAGATATTTTTTTCTTGTAGCCATTAAAATAATTATAAAAAAAATTAATTATATTCCAAATGTAATTTTTTTAATCACATTAAAATAATTAAAAAAATTAACTAAAATTATCGCTTTCACAGACAAACACTATCCAAGAAATTATTTAATAATTTCAAAAATAATATGTTATTATATTTTAAACTAATTATTAATTATTTAATTTTTATGTCGTTTTTTTATTTCTAATATAAATTGTGGTCCTATCTTCTTTATATTCGGAAAAAGAAAAGTTAGGGATAATGAAATTTTTTCATGAAAATTATCATAAAAGATTTATGATTGTTGAATTAACTTAATTAATGTGTAATATTTATTTTAAATGTAATTTAAAGATTACAAAATTTTCATGATTATTTTGATGAAAGTTTTTTTTTTTTTTTTTATGATTCGTTAGATCGGAAAATACTGATGCCTCTGTCGCTCATGTACGGTACGTCCTATTTAATATCCCATGCTCTCTCTCTCTCTCCCGATTTGATTCGCCTAAGACTGAATATGAGTTCAGTACAGAAACAATTGCTCGATGAAGACGACGATAAACGAACCCTTGATCTCATAATCAACTCTCAATCTCACACAAACCACCACCACCAACCACCTCACGCGGCGGCGGTATCTTTGAAGCAAGAGCCATATGCGGAGGGGAGGCCTCAGCCGCCGCATACGATGTCCCCGGCGGCGACGCCCATGCCGGTATCGATTCCGAAGCGGGCGGCTTCGACGAAAGACCGCCACACGAAGGTGGAGGGCCGGGGACGGAGAATCCGCATGCCCCCCACCTGCGCCGCTCGGATATTCCAACTCACCCGAGAACTCGGCCACAAGACCGACGGCGAAACCATCCGGTGGTTACTTGAACACGCCGAACCCTCCATCATCGCCGCCACCGGCACCGGCACCATCCCCGCCGTCTCCACCTTCTCCGCCACCGCCTCCACCACCACAAAGAAGAAACGCAACGCCGATTCAACCTCCTCCTCCGGCCTCGCACCACTAGGCGGCGGAGCAACACCACCACCCACCTTCGTTCCCATGTGGGCCATACCATCGAATGCAGCACCGACATTCTGGATTGTTCCGCCAACAGCCTCGACTATTCAGCAGCAACCCCAAATATGGAGTGCGTTTCCGATCACAGCAACTCCATTTATTAACATATCAGCAGCAGCAGCAAGACCCATTTCACATCCGCCATTAGAACTTTCCTCAGTCGCTACGAGCTCTACAGTCGGGGCTAAAAGTGAAAACAGAGAATCAACAACAATGGCATCTACGCTGAGAGATTTTTCGGTAGAGATTTACGATAAACAACAGCTTCAGTAGTAATTCAACAGGAGATTTTCCGGCGAAGATTCGGTTGAGAATGGCACGTGAGGAGATTGATAGTGGTGCACGTATGAAGTTGGATCAGGTTAGGTTAGGTTGGGTGGAGAGAGAGTTTGTTATTGTGGGGCCAGGGCACACCAAAAGTGGTTGGTCAATGGAGTAATTAAAATGAGATTGGATGGTCTCAACTGGGAGTTCAGATCTTGTTTTTTTATTTTTCTTTTTTAAGATTTCTATTTTGTAAATTATTTATAAAATAATAATTAAATTCTACTTATGATAATAGTTTCCTGCAACAACTTCTGTTTTTATTCAAAATTTATGATAATAATAATAATAATAATAGTGCGTGTGAATGCAATGGTTTGGAAGTGCAGTTACATAAGAGTATGAGTACAAAATATAAATCACTTTGCTTGGTTTCTATTTTTTAAAAACAGTTTTCAGAAAATTCTATACTCTTATTTTTCATATTTTTTTATTTTTACTGAATTTTTTTAATATTTTATGCAAATTTTTTACTTTTTAGACACACATAACATAAATACACTTAAAAAATAAAAAATTTGTAAAAAAAATCTTTTAAAAATTCACTAAATACCAAAAATACAAAAAAATACAAGAATTTAGTACATTTTTTGTATTTTTATGTATTTCTTAATTTTTTAAAATATTTTTTTACAATTTTTTTTTGGTAGATTGACCAATAAGTTCTAAATTTTGGACTTGTAATCTATATAATCTCATATTTTTTTTCTTATAATCCATTTAGGCCATGTTTGTTTGGGCGGACTGGATTAGCATTCCCATGACTAATAGTCCTAGGATTACGAATCCGTTGGATTATGTATCCTATCTTAACTAAAAAAAAAAACACGAAAATCAAAAAATTCAATTTTCAAAAAACTTAATCCAGAAAACTCAAACCAAACACAATGAATGCTCTTTCAAGTATTTTTTAAAATATAATTATATTAGCATTAATTTTAACATTTATTTTATATGATAATATAAAAATATAGATAAATGTTCAACATAGAAATTATTATCTTTTGGGCACACACCAAAAAAGTCAATTTTTTGACTTTTTAGCTTTTTTAGTCAAAAAAAAATTAGCTTTTTTTATTCAAAATAACCCAAATTTTTTCCAAAAAAGCCACTAAAAAAAATCAAAAAGTCAATTTTTTACCAACTTTTCAAAACACCCTTCAATTTCACTTCATAAATTTCAGACATTCATAAAGTTTTAAAGCTTGTTTTTCTTTTGATTTTTTTAGTCATTTTTTCTTAATTAAGTGAAAAAAAATGTATTTTTTACTTAATAAAAAACTGGTTAACACAAGGAAAAAAGAGTTTGGATTTGTTAAAATTAAAAATATCAACTTCACAATTTCACATGTGAAATTAGTATATTATGGGACTAATTTCTAGCCATCTCAGTGATCTTAATGGTTTATTACATATGACAAGCCAAAAATAATATGCATGCAAAAAATTAAGTCTGCAAAATATTAATAATTACATAATTAAATCACATATATATTATAACAAATAAATGATTTATTATTAAAAATATTTTTGTTATATAAATAAAAATGATCTAATTATATGACAATTGATATTAAGCCTCCGTTTGAGAAGTGGGTTGATTTTTTGGCTTTTTGGCTTTTTTTGGCTATTTTAGCCTGGGCTAAAAAGCTTGATTTGGGAAAGGCTTTTTAGCTTTTTTGACTTTTTTTGTGAGAGAAGAGTGTAATGATTATGGGTTGAATGTGATGTTTTGTTTTTTGTGGCTAAAATAGCCTATTTTGTCTTTTGTAGCTAAAATAGCCAAAAAAGCCCGAAAAAGTCCTTCCCAAACGGACCCTTAAATTCACTTAATTTCTTGCATAGATATTTTTCCAATTAGATGGCTACAGAAGGATACGTTATTTGATGGTTTGGCACATAGTAACGTGTTGCAAGACTTGATGAAAGGAGTGATTAATAAAAGAGGATTTATTAAGAAATTATTTTTTAAATATTTGTATTTTAATTAGTTCATAATTTATTTTTATATTTTAATGAGTTATATTATTTAGATATTTGATTCACCATATCTTAATTTTTATATTCACGGTATTTTATGGATAATTTTATCCTTGCAAATATTTTTTTAATTATTAACAATTTAGTGATATGAATATTTACATTGATGTGTAAATGTTCATATTATGAAACATTCACAATGTTAATGTGAATATTATTATTAGGATTTTTTAATAACTATGTTACTTATAAAACTTATTGGAACATAAAAAAATAATTTAAATAAAATGAAAGAATAATATTAGGAATACAAAAATTTTTATCAAATAAATGACCAAATATCTTACATGGATGTGGGGTCCGTAATTTTGTGGACTCCACACCTATGTGAGATATTTAATTTGAGACCTATAGCACTTTTTAAAATGGAATATAAGTAGGGCTGCAAATGAACAAAGCTGTTCATGAACAAGCTCGAGCTCGGCTTGGTAAGAGCTCATTCGAACTCGGTTCGTTAATTTTTTTTGTCGTTCGAGCTCGAGCTCGTTAAATTTTTAATAAACAAGCCCAAACAGTTTAAAGCTCGGCTCGTAAGCTTGGCTCGTTAGCTAACTCATTTAATATTTATTATTTATATATTAAATAATATAAAATTATGTATAAAAAATAAGAGAAATATGCTATTTATATATTTAAAAAATATAAATGTAAATAATACTTAACTATAGATAGTATATTTATATAATAGTGGTAGTAGATATTATTATTTTAGTAAAATATGGACTATCAAAATTTTAATTGTAACTTTAGTCTCACATGCAAGTATGAATTTATAAATTTTTTGGCTCGTTAAGGTTCGTGAACAGGCTCGAGCTTGAGTCGAGCCTAAGCCAACTCGGCTCGAGTTCGGTTTGTTAAATTTTTATTCAACTCGAGCTCGAGCTCGAGCTCGTTAAAATCTTAATAAACAAACCCAAACACACTAAAACTCGGCTCGGCTCGGCTCGTTTGCCGCCCTAAATATAAGTAGCTGAAAAAAAAAATTATGAATAAACGAGCCTTAATAAAAGCTTGGTGTTGACCAACTAATAATATTTGTAAAGCAATGATTATGAATCACAAAATAATTAAGAGAAAATACACGCAGGGGTATTTATAAAAATTTATTACATATGTGTGAAAAAGTTTATAATTTTAATATTGATAAAATTTATCATTAATTTTTAATGTAATCTAAACAAATTATTTATTGTGTTTGGTTCGAATTTTTTGAATTTAATTTTTTGAAAATTAAGTTTTTTATTTTTCTTATTTTTTTTTAATTTTGAGTGAATATTTTTAAAATTTTGAGTAATTTTTTTACTTTTTTGGATGCAATTTACTTAGATTTATCTAAAAATAAAATATTTTAAAAAATCAATAAATACACATTAATACAAAAAATGTACATAATTTTTATTTTTTTTTATATTTTTGATATTTAATGAATTTTTTAAAGATTTTTTTCATAAATATTTATTTTTTAAAGTTTATTTATGTTAGGTGTTTCTAAAAATAAAAAAATATTTAAAATAGTAAAAAATTTAGTAAAAATAAAAAAATACAGAAAATAAAAAAATTCAAGGTGTATTTTGTTTGTGTTTTGAGATAAATTTTCAAAAAAAAATTTAGAGAAAGAGTTTAGAAATTTTTTTGATTTATTTGATTGTATATTTTGAAAATAGTTTTAGAGTTTTTGATGATTTGATATTTTATTGTAGTTAAGTAAATATGTGTGAGAGAGAAAAAGTGATTGAGGATGAGAGAAAAGAGATAAAAAAAATGATTTGTTGATGTGTAGGAGAGATAGTGAATTTGAAAAAAAAAATTCAAAAAATTTGAACCAAATAAAATTTGAAATTTTTTTTTTTCTCAAAATTGATATGTTGAGATACAAACCAAACAGCCCCCAATTTTTTTAAAAATAAATCATGAAAATAGAACCAAACAAAATTTTTAATTATTTTTTAACTTGTACACTAATTTTCAAATAATTGGTGTATTATATTTGTGGGGGCCACCTCGTATGGTGTGGTGTGTGCACGAGGGAGGGGCCCAACTCAAACCGTTTATGAAGGCGGCCCCTCTGCGTGGCGTGGGGTGGTCCCGCCTGTAATTGGTGGTCCGATCGAGGCGCCAGTCTGGTGCAAAAAAGGTTCAGTTTTGGGGGGCTTAGGACCGCTTGACACGTGGCTCTTGCCTAGCTGTCTCTCTCTCTCATCTGTGAAACTTTTGTACGGCAATAGAATATATACGATGTAGTACATTCTACTGTGGAATGAAAAATGTTTAGGATGAACGCGTTCGGATTGAAATGGATTAGGGTAAAATTAGAATTAATTTGTTATTTATAATATTTAAAGAATTAGAATTAATTTAGTTTGTTTAAATTATGGAATTAATTTGAATCAACCCATTTAAATATAAATTAGATCGGTTTAAAATCACAGATTCACATAATTAAATAATAAAAAAATATAAAACATTTTAATGTCATAAAAACATAAATATAGTATGATATTAGTTCTACAATAAAAACACGCCTTTTCATAATAGTAACATACAATTTTAGAATTTAAACAATCATAAAAAAACTGGTTTCAAGTATTTAGACTATTACAAATTAAAACTAAAACCAACAAACAAAAGTAATAAAAGAAGATATTAGATGAGTTTAGGTTTGAGTTTATGTTTTATATGGAATATGAGAAGATATTATGTAGGAATGTGTATAATATAAATATAAACTATTTGTATACGGTCTTGATCGGTTCCAATCGGGAACCATGGGGTTTAATCCGGAACCGATCCATGGATTACAGATTTTTAATTTTTCAATTAAGAATCGAACCACAGATTCAAAAAATCAATCCAAACCTATCGAATTGGACTAGACCGGATCGGATTACAAATTTCACGGATTTCTTACTCAGTCCTAAAAATGTTAAGAGATTCTAAATATTTTATTAATATTTCTACCAAATATTTTACATGAATATGAGACCCATACCATGTGGATTCTACACTCATATAAGACATCAAAAATGCTTGGCACCTCCAAAGTTGGAGACTCCCATGATTCCAAAATGATGTGGACCAATCATGTTTCCTCCCTCCCTCCGCTTTTCCTGGATCAATCATAGGTGAGTGGGGTTGTGAGATTGTATTTTTTAAGAATATGTAGCATTGTTGATAAGATATTTGGTAAAAATGTTAGTAAAATATTTGAGATTGTTAGTTTTACTCTTTTACTATTATGATTGAATTAAACATTAAAATTTATTATATTTATGTTAAGTGTTTGAAAAATAATAATAAAAAAAAAATATATATATATATATTCATGATTGATAGAAATTAATATTCATTTTCGATGTACCAAAAAAAACAAAAAAAAAGGTTGAAATTAATATAACCCTATTGATATACCAAACCTTTTCCTCGTACATGGTGTGGGGCTTCCTTCGTAGCTTCGACACGTGGACGATAATTTTGTGCGAGTTTGATTCGGTACACTTTCATTTGAGTGTCTTTTTTGGCATTAGAATTCCCTGAAAATAGTTTTTTTTTGGTATAACAATTTTACAGTAGTAATTTTATGGTGATTTAAATCTCACAATATAATTAATTAGAAGAATTATTTAAAATTAGAAGAATTATTTAAGGATTTAAATCACTATTACTACAAGATTAAGGATTTAAATCACTATTACTACAAGATTATTATATTAAAAATTATTATAAAAAATTCCAGTACATGAGAATGAGGAAGGTAAAGTAATGAGATGGCTATAATATTCTGCACCTCTTTAACCAAAAAAAAAGAAAAGAAAAAAAGTAACGAGATGGAGCACCTGGTGCTCCTCATTTTTAAGCTTTTATTTTATTTTAATTTTGGGTTATTATGGCATAAGAAGGGAAAATTAGAAAGAGATCGTTCGTGGCCCTATTTGGGAGGAGGATTGGATAAAAATAACTCATTAAAAGATAAAATAAGTTAAAATAGTCAATAAGGTAAAATGTCACTTTAAAATCATAATCATTTTTTTTTCCACAATCATCAATTCAATTACAAAAAAGAAAAGAAAAAAAAAAAAGACAACCACTTTTTAAACACAATTTTTTAAGTTAGGTTAAAATAGTCAAAAAAATTAAAAAGTCAACTACAATAGCCAACTTTCCAAACGAGGCCTATATATGTTTGTGTAATAGTTTAAGGATAATAAAAATTAATTTGGTAGTTAAGGTCTTTAAGATTTAAAATTTTAAAAGAATAAAAACAAATTTTGACATATATGGATCAAAATGCCCTTTTAATTATAGAAATTATTTTTTTTTCTTCTAATTTTTCAACAAATGCCTCTCCCTCCATGATCTATCTTCGGTACCACTTCTACCACATCTCCGATATCGTTACCATATCCATCGACCACTACAACAAAAAACAGAAATGGCGACTAACAGATGAAATTTCGTCGCTGAAAGTGCATGAAATGGCGACTAAATTGGAATTTGTCGCCGAAAAGCAGGTTTTTAGCGACTAAAAGGGTTTAGTCGCCGAACAGCGTGTTTTTAGCGACTAAAAGGAAGTTTTGTCGCCTAATATACGGTTTTCAGCGACTAAAGTTTGTTTAGTAGCCAAAAGTCACGGTTTTTAGCGACTAAAATAATTTAGTAGCGAAAAGGTAGGGTTTTGGCGACTAAAAACAGGTTTAGTCGCTGATTATAGCAGTTTTGCCGACTAAAAGCAATTTAGTCGCTGAAAGTGGAGGTTTTGCCGACGAAAATCCATTTTAGTCGCCGAAAGTAGTGGTTTTGGCGACGAAATTTCTGTTTAGTCGCCAAAAGTGCTGATTTTTAATTGAGAACTTGTTTTTTTAGCGACAAATAAATAATTAGTAGCCCAAAATAATACAATTAGCGACTAAAAAATGGTTTTAGTCGCCAAAAGTCGCCTAATTTTGGCGACTAAAAGTTTAGTCGGCAAAGGTATAATTTCCAATACAGAAATTGACTATTGGCGACGAAATATTTAGTCGCTGAAGACATTTATATTGGCGACTAACAGTGTTTTAGTCGCCAAAGGCATTCGCGACCGTTTATTGGCGACAACAAGGGCGACTAAACTTTTTTGTCGGGAAAAGTGAAATTTTGACATTTGGCGACTAAAATCGGACCTTTGGCGACTAAAAATTTAGTCGCCAAAGGTGTTTTTTCTTGTAGTGGACATTCATTCACTGACATCTGTTTTTTTTTTTTTTCCTTCCTTTCTTCTCTCTCTCTCTTGACCACATCAATTGACACTTCGTCATCTACTATCATTGCCTAACCACCGTCATTCACCACCATTGACAACCTCTCTCTTGGATTTATGCGTAGGCCTAGTATGTTTTATTTTCTTCTAGGCTGATTTGTTTCATTATCGCCGATTTGTGCACAAATTTGATGTAGGAGTTTTAAATTTCTTTTCCCTCTCTCTTCTTATTATTTTCTCTGTGTCTCTGTATTTTTCTCTATGTTAAAACGTGAAATTTCTCTATTTCTATTTTTCTTTCTTTTGAAACACAAAATTTTCCGTCTCTGTGTTTCAAAAAAAAAAAAAAAAATCTATGTTTTTGTGTTTTTTATTGTATTGAAACACAAAATTTTCTATGTTATTATATTTTTCTCTGTTTCTAAGTGAAATTTCACTGTGATGTAACAATGAACATAGTAAAATTTCATAATTTTTTTCTTCAAAATTTCATATTACTCATCGATCATATCTGAAAAGTCATGTCTATAAGATTCTACAAATATAAATTTCACAAAAAATGAAGATGTATATCAAAACTTATTAAATTTTAAAATTTTGAAAATACTTAAACAATATAAAAGGTAACTAACTATAGAGGTTATTTTTATTCAAAATGGTTAACAATGTTTGTTGGAGAACCGTAACTACTACTAGAAAATTATTTGTCATTATTCTTTTAAAGAAATATTAGCAGGGGTCTAAAAAAAACGGATAGAAGGAATACAAACAAACAATGTTTTTATTATTAGGTTAATTTCACTTTGACCCCTTTATATTTAGTCATTTTTTCACTTTGGCTCTTGAAGTTTATTTTTTTCCACTTTAACTCTTTGTATTTTATTATTTTCTCAATTTACTCCTAAAGTTTATTTTTGTTTAAAATTAGATAAAAAAATGTCATGTTAATTGTCACATAACATAAAAAAATATATTATTATATTAAAGTTTAGATTTATGTAAGATGTGTGAGTTATACATAATAAAATAATTTTTATCCATGTGATTGTCAATCTATCATTTTCTATATCATTTTGTAAACAATTTAATTTTTGAAGTAAATTGGGAAAAACTTGAAACATGAAGAGTCAAAGTAAGAGAAAATAAATTTGAAAAGCCAAAATGAGAAAATATCAAAATATAGGTGCAAAGCATAATTTACTCTTATTATTATTTAGTTTTTCCCCCACCCTTTTGACCAATTAGTTATAAAGTTGCTTACATTAGCATATGAAAAATAAATTCCAAAGTTATCTTCCCTATCCATATGGTGTGGGGCTCTATTTCCACCACCAACCTATCTTGATTAATTATTCATTATATTATCTGATATTTATACGGTGTTAATAACATAACAGAAAATTTTAAAACTAAGACGGTATTGATCTCTTTTTTTTATTAGGTAATTGAGAGACAAAAAAAATACTCACATTTAGATTTTTAATTTTTTTGGTTTTGATTTTGTTTGTTTTTTGTTTTTTCGCTTCGCATGGCAAAGAAAAGAAAACAAAGACAATTTGAGGAGAAAAAAGCACATTTTTTGGGTATGTCAATAATGTTGATAAGCCATAGTTTAATGTTGAACTTAAAATGGATGCTTTTACTAATTTCAAGGTAAAAAATGAATAATTTGTTTTTAATTCAAATTTAAATCACAAATACTGAATTAATATACTTTTTCAACTTTCTATTAAAATGTAGGAATTAATAAAAAATATAAAATTGAGAAATGTCAAAAACTAAATACATGATACACAATTAGACCACATTATTAATTCTGTGATAATATAAACAACAATAAATTACATTATCCCAAAATCTGGCCCAGGTAAAGCTATGATGGGCACAAAAAAATTAGAACAAAAAAGACTATACAAAAAGAATTGAAATTAGTATAATAACCATGTAGCTGTGGGGATTTGCCCCTCATTCAAAAAAATTAGGGCAAATTACATATATCCCCTCGAGATTTAGCAAAATTACAGATACTCTTCTGAGGTTTGAGAAATTACAGATACCCCCTTAAAGGTTATATTTGCATAACAAATTAGGAGGTAAATTGTTATGAAAATATAAATCTCAGGGGACAATTTGTTATGAAAATATAAACCTCAGGTGAGTATCTGTAATTTTCAAAATCTCAGAGAGTATCTGTAATTTAGCTAAACCTCAAGGGAGGTATATGTAATTTGCCCAAAAAATTAAAAATGAAACTCAAAACTACACTTCCCGCTCCTGATTATCGATGTCTAGACCGATTGATTATATGGTTAGGTTCTCCTGAATTGCGAGAAAGGATCCAACAATGCGCCCGCCAACGTCGGGGAAATTTTCACATCCCGGAAGGGGCTTCACCTTACCCTTTCGATCAACTTCAACTGGGTACTTTATGAGGTGTCCCTTCATCTCTGTCACTTCATCGTCCGCAAATTGTATCCAATTCATCTCACCCATTGATCTAACCTTTCTCACACATTCAATACTCTCTGGTCGTGCAAAGCAGTCCTCGATCATAGCGAGATGCTCTGCCCACAATGACATTCTATACCCATAAATCTGCAAAACATAATAAAATGTGATCCATAAAAAAAATGAAGCATTTTTGTGCATAATCCAAACTAGAAGTTGAGGCCACGGTAACTGTCATATGGGATGTGGGCTTTGTTTAGTTTATTGTTTTAGGGATAAATGTTACATGTTTACACCAATTTCATAAGAACAAATTGTGTGGGCAATTTTGAAAATCCGAAGGACAAAAAAAAAAAAAAAAAAAAATCACGACTGAACTTTAAAAAAGCGTTCACACTGCCAGACTGGGGTGTTCACATTATATAATAGCCTGAAATTTATTCATACGTCTTTATAGATCAAAATCAAAAACTGCCGAAGCTCAAAGAAGCGAATAATATCCCAAATTTTAGCCTTTTGGTAAGTGACAAAATCGCTAGCCATGATTGTCTTAAATTTTCTCATCTGAACCGATCAAACAGTTCAGTAGGAAACACATTTCTCTCAATGATTGTGTCATACAAAACCTAATTCGAAACAAATGATTCTCATTAAAGGTTACCTGTCCATGTGGATTAGACAGTTTTCTTGCCCATGTATGATGAGGTTGGTAGGCTCCCATCGCAATCTCAGTGTCTCTCGTGCCCTCCATTGAACGCTGATTGATGTTTGCAGACCCCAATATCACATATTCATCGTCTACTATCATGCCTTTTGAATGAACATAAATCATGAACCTTCGAAATTTCCGGCTCAGTGCCTAAAACACCAAAATAAGATCATTTATGTACATCCTCAAAACTAAAAGATTTTAACGATTAAAGGACAGAGACCTGAGGAGTGTTTGCAGCTGCATTGTTTTCAGGATTTAGATTTTCATTGCCTGCAACTTCACGGTTGCCAAGACAGAAGAAGTTCAAAAAGTCTTGGGGTGTGAATGCATCCTCAAGGCCAACCTCCACTAAAGCCTTGTAAATGGTCTCGTACATCATTTGCATTGTTTTGTGCTGTACATTCAATGTGAAGATTCATAGAATTTTAAGTTTCCCATTGGAAATGAATTAATCAACTGAAAACAAAATTAGCAATCATGCAATGTGTTTAGGTTAAAATTGGTCCGTACCTGCCAAAATAAAATCCTTTGGGTAGCAGCACCTGTTGGATTGCCTTCTGGCCACATTGGAATAACAATGTAAGCTGCAAACCTCTCATGTGCTCTGATTTTATCGGCAATTTTAAGGGCAATTTCCATGGGAATCAAATTATTCGCACCTGTAGCATGACAATACGCTTACAACCTGTATTAGAAAAGTAATTTCTAGCATAATGCTCAAGAAAGCACCTATTAGTGCCATTATCATCCTTTTTACTAAAGTCTGTGTCACTAAGAAAAAATGCAGATATAGAATACACCATGAACACATAACTGAAGATTTTCAGTTTTGTGATTGGGGTACCTCATACATTTCTAAAATTTGTATAAAAGAGATTTATGTTGCCATGCTTTGGCAATAAGTTAAAAAAAGAAAAAAAAATTGTAAAAATGATTTTTACCTAAGTCTTTGTAGGAGTTCCAGTTGTAAGAAGACCCAATGAAATACTGATTTTCAATATAAATGAAATGTTGAGCAGCGCGAATAGCCTTTACATATGCTGTATGTATGCTCATATCAATAAGTACATTCTTCCCACACATCAGGTTCTGTTAAAGAAAGTAATCAGTTAATTTCCACAAAATCAAAGTCATAAATTTAAAAAAAAAAAATTGTGAAACAGAGAATTAACTCTCACCTTGTTAATAGCTTCTTTTGGATCCTTAGGAAAACCTCTAACAGAATTTGAATCAATGGAACGGAAAATCTGCACTTAGAGAGGAAAATGACAGAACATTGTTATACACCACAGATGAAGGATCAATAAGACCATTTTGATTCCGAAATTATTTTCTAGATACACAATAGACATAATGGTTTGTGTATCAATTTACCTGGACATGCCAAGCCTCAGGATCATTCTCACTGAGGCAAGGAGCATCAGACACCCCAATTATGTCAGGCATCCTTTCTATTCTGAGTAAAGCATCGTCATAAGATATCTTCAATTTTTTAATGCCTTGAGGTTTAGAAGCCTTAAACCAGCGTTCTTCGAAGTTGGTCAGAACATCATATGCTGCTGGACCATCAATTTTACAGTGCAAGTCATGCCATGGTTCTCTTGGACAACCAGCAACGGTCCCCTATCAGGTGATAACATGAAGAAAAACAAGAAAAAGAAAATACGTGTCAAGAAAAAAATTGTAGACCAATCAGAATTCATAACTGAATACAAAATTTTTAACTGTTTTGACAGTGAGAACAATGCAATGGCAAAGATAAAAAGTGGTAAGAAAGTACCGTGTAGGTAGGGTTGTGATAGTCATCAACATGAACAGTTTGTAGTGTCCTAAATATAGGATGCTGTGGAGTATCATATCGGCCATTACACAAATCAAGCCCTCCAAGAAAAGCTATAATTCTTCTTTTATTTTCACCAGCATCAGCATCCACAATAACAGTTTTCTGATGGTGTGTATAGATTGTTCCAACTTCCTGATAATAAAATAGTAAGAAAATTAAGTTCAATCTGTAATATTCTCACCAAATATATATAAGCAGGTACAAAGTTTTCCAACAATCTAATTAGCATAATTCAACAATTTTACACCCAAAGGAACTTAAAGATACAGGGTAAGAAGGTTGGGAAAAATTGCAAATATTGTTCACATCATGCACTACTCCCAGTTCACGCTTTTAAGTTTTAACTGCTAGATCACCAATTACTTGAAAAGCTTAAGTTATTATCAAGCTATCCAAACACACTCCCTCACATGCAACCTTGTCTTGCAAGGAGGGATGCAAACGACATACATAAGAGAAACAGAATGCAAATGGGAAACAAATGCAACAGAGAGTCCTGAACCCAAGACTTCCCCCAACCAAAGCTCTGATACCATGTTAAAGGCCCAACAATGAGTAGTTAGTCTTCCAAATATAATGGAAGACTGATTATTTTTTTTCAAAAATATAAAAAATGTAAAAAAAAAATAATAATAATTATTTGAAGGATATGTATTTCTTGAGGAATTGACCCAACAAGGAGTTAAACTGATATTAAAATGTGGAAATATATTAAAATTATTTCTGAATGGATTCCAAATCACAAAGAGAATAGAATTTTCTATTTCTGTTGAATCTGGGAATTATAAACTTTAAACATAATATATATATATATATATGTATATTTAGATTTCTGTCATATGTTGTCTGTTTTAGTTGACTTGGATATATCCATCCTGCTTGAACAGGTGATGCAGAGGTTAAACTGATATTAAAATGTGGAAATATATTAAAACTTATTTCTGAATGGATTCCAAATCACAAAGAGAATAGAATTTTCTATTTCTGTTGAATCTCGGAATTATAAACTTTAAACATAATATATATATATTTAGATTTCTGTCATATGTGTGTCTGTTTTAGTTGAGTTGGATATATCCATCCTGCTTGAACAGGTGATGCAGAGTTATACATTTGAGTATTGATTAGATTCTTAAATAGTTCTTGAAAAGCTCAATCTCTCTCTTGATGAACCCAAAACCTAAGTTTAATTTTTGTTCAGATGTTAGAGCAATGTTTAGTTCTGAAATCAAGAACAGTTTCTTCCATTTGAGCTCATTTCAATAAATTGTTTTCCTGTTTCAGCAGTTGAGCAATGTACGTGGATGCTCCTATTTCAGCAAATTGTTTTCCATAACAAACAGAATGTGACATCAATTCCTACGCTAAAGTCATTTTATTTTGAAATCAAGCCACTTGTGCCCATGTCGGGCAGCTACACCTACGTCAGTGTCCTCATAACATAAATGGCAGAAGAATTGCGAAATGAAACCACCATATTAACCTTGACCAAGTTTGGAATAACAATCAGTTTCCCAGTACGACTAATTTATGCTTTCTCATTGCAAATAGTCTGCAGATTCCAAACACTGACACAAAGTAAACAATCACTTAGGTGGGAAAGAGCAAAACATTAGGCATATGCGTTGCAAAAGACACTGAGGACAAAAGAAAAATTGGATCACTTATTTCTATCGTACCCTCTGTTTGATCCAGCTGTGCTTCTTTCCAGCCACACGGGGACAAAGTTGCACTTGCACTGAAGAATGCTTGAAAAATCGGCGAGTTTCCTCATCATGGGTTTGCATGATTCCATCCTGCATTTCTCAAGTTTAAGCACTAAATGATAGGATAAATGTAGGAAAGCTTATATAAACCAAACCATTATTTTGGGGAGTGCTATTGAAGAGAATTAACTTGAGAAATCTCAAGCTCCAGTCAACAGCTCTAAATACAGAAAAGACATACAGACAATAATTAACGGAGACAAAATGGTGCTATGTATTACATGTCATCATGGCATTGGCAACTCAAAACAACAGCTCGGGGCTTAGGCCTATAAATAGAAAAATTTACAAATTAGCTGCTGTGGCTATTAGTTCTCCTAAATCTTGTTTGAAGTAAAATAAGAAAACTAACTAATGAAGCATGAATTTAAGTTTAAATCTAGCTCCACATGGCCAAGTTCATATCACAAAATGGAGATTTGCCAATGAGATTTGCAAAAAGGCATTCAACCATGGAGATGAACTCATGTACCGACAATTACATGTTTATAAAAATCTATATCCCATAAAGTCAACATAAGAATGAGCACTGAGTACCAAGATAGTTGTCTTACACTTCGTTTTTTTTTTTCCTTCTGGTTTTGTGTGTGTTTGACATTGAAAAATAAATCAATAGATACAATAAAAATATTACTGCAACAATGTGATCTAATTATAGGATACAAGGTAAACCACTTACCGTTTTGTAACCCAGGATGCTTCTTGAAGTAGGGTCATCCCAGACGAGCAGCAACACTCTCACTCCTTCCTGTGACTTTGACTTTAAAAGATCCCCCAGAGTGCAATTTGATGCATTTTCAATATCACGAACCAGCCTAACTTTGTGCCACACAGACCAACCAGTAATATAAATCAAACGGCGTGCCTGGCGTATTGCATCAAAAATGTCACGCCAACACTTCCCTTGAACATAATGCATCCCATTATCAAGCTTCAAATTAGGAAGGAACTCATCAGGTACATGAGCATCTTGATAAAGCGTAACTGTTCCACCCCTCCTAAGGGGAAAGTAAGTGCCGGGAACCCCAAAATAATCAGGACCAGCTCCGACTCCATGATGATATATGCTCAATCTCTCGATTGGCGTGTACTGAATTGAGAGACTCAAAACGGCTCCAGGCTTGCAAGGCTTCCCATTACTACTCAGTATTGGATAGACACCCTGAACTTGTTCCTCCGAGTATATATGTTCTACTGGAATTGTAACAACCCCTATGAGCTGGGATCCTACAACATCACTGTCCTTGACAAGAAAGTGAATTTCAGAAGCATAATGTGCCACAGGAACGTAAAAACGTTGCATCCAAACAGGATTTTCACTATTACTAATCACATAAGTCCTCCCAATCACTGCACTTGTCACTGAAATGGAGACATACGGATCACTAGTGATCTTACGATTCATGGTCCCTTCAATCTTGCTGCTCATATTCCCCGGTAACTTGTTAAACATGTCTCCTAAAGTTTTATGAAACATGTCCATATTTGGAAGGTTTTTGGCCTCGTAGACCCAAATGTCTAAGTTCCCATGTAAGGGCAACACTTTCAAAGACCCTTTAGAGGTTGCAAAAGGCACAACCTGAAAACTCTGACTGTGTGGGGATTCAACAAATGAGGTTGAATAGGTTAGAGTAGGATGAGCAGAGGAATCAATGGGACCAGAATGAGATGTATCCCACTTTCCCGAAAATGACGTATTGGGATACCCATATATGCTCCCTTGGGTATGGGTAAGGGAATCATACTTTGCACTTGAACTATAGTATTGGAATGTCGGACGAGAACTTGGAACTAATGATTCTGCAGGCGTTGGAGGTGATTCGGGGGCAGATGTGGCATTATTATTGGATATATGGACATTATGTAAAAGATCATCAATGGGTGGGTAAACAGGAGGGTAAGTGGGGGTATTATTATCCTTGGCATTATCATGATTCGCCGTACTATCTTGGCTGTGGATGTCAATACCCATGGATGGTGTGCTATCGTGGCGGTGGTGGCCAGGTAAGTTATTGGCACGGGATGGACCATCAGGGTAGGAATCCGAGGCTGAAAAGGTTATGGGCGCCGAGGGATGATGATGATGATGAGGTTGAGGTTGAGGTTGATGGGATGAAGAATATTGGAAACTACCCTGGTGTTGAAGGGTTGGCTGATTTGGGTATGTTTGGTATTGTGGATAGGTAACGGGCCCCCCGGATTGTGATGGGGGAGGATAGCTGTAATCAATGGGGCCGGAATGGGGATTTTGAGGAGGAGGGTAACCTGGTGGTGGAGGGTAGGGATAGGGAATAGGGGCATTGTAATAAGGAGGAGGATAACCAGGAGGAGGGTATGGACCAGAATTGGGATGTGGGTATGGAGGTGGAACAACAGGGTATCCATAGGGAGGACCATATGGGTATGGATTTGAAGGATTGTAATTGTTGTTATCCATTTGATTGAGTCTTTTTTCACAGTATAATCAATTAGGGTTTTCTATATCTACACATATACAAAATGAAATTGAATCAAATGATATAATGCAGATACATCACAATCAAGAGAGAGAAATATCAATAGGGTTTGTTTCTCTATACTCAATGGAGGTTCTTATTGGATTCAATTCTAAAAAGATGAACAATTCAGAGAGAGAATGAGTCAAAATTGGTTTAATTTATCAGTTTTTAATTCAATATCACAACTAATACAATTGAGCTTGAATTGAAAAACCAAGCTGACAATGTGATATAGAGAAAGAGAATACCTTTACACGATTGAATATTGAAAACAGATCAGAAATTCTGAATAAAAAAAGATGAAGAAGAAAAAGAAGAGAGAGAGAGGGATGAGTAGTACCGGGTATTCCAGGTTCCCATCTATACTTGTGGTAACTTGGGTCAAGTTAAGAGGAGACAGGTACAGGCGGTTACTGGTATCATCATATCCACGTGGAGATTTTTGATTTGGTGGTTATGCAAGAAGAGTGACTTTGCGTAACTCCAGTCTTCTAGCGTCAACTTTTCAACACGAAATTAATAAATAAAGAATATATGACGATTGGGTACGCCACGTGTCAAGGTATTTGAAATATGCCAAGTGTAAATTCATTCCCTGACTGACAATGACATGGCTGTGACGTCCTTTTAGAATTGAAAAGAAAGTCTGAAATATAAAATATTTTTCTTTAATAAGAAAGGGTCAAAATCTTCGTTCTTTCTAGAAACACTAATGCTGTGTTTGGTTAGGGAGATTTGGAGAGAAATTTAAAGAATAAAAGGGAAAAAGTATGTGAAATTATGTGAAATGTAGGTATATTTTTTTCACATTTTACCTACCTTTTCCATTTCCCTTTCCAAATCCCTCAACCAAATACAATATAAAGAAAAACATTCTAAACAAAAGTCGACAATTCAGCAAATTAGGCAAATAATCCAATATTGTAAAAATAATAATAATAATAATAATAATTTAATAATTATAATTCGCATAATTTAAATTTTTTAAAAAATAAATCACAAATATTAAAGAAAAAATTTAAGGTAGTCTTTTGTTTAGTTTTGAAATTGTGATTCTCTTTTTGAAGTTATGATTCGAGTGTGAAATTGTGAATTGAGTTTTGAAAAGAGAAGATTTGTTTGATTATGAATTTTGAAAAGTGTTTTGAAATGAGTATTTAAAATAGTTTTTGAATTTTGAATTTTGAATTTTGAATTTTGAATTTTGAAAAGAGTTTTGAGTTTTGAAAAGAGTTTTGAATTGTATTTTGAGTTTGAGTTCTATTTTGAATTTTTTAGATGTTTTTTTAAAATATTAAAAATGTTTGAGAAAATTTTAAAAATATTTTTAGTTAAATATTTTGAGTTTGAGTTTTAGTTAAATATTTTTATTTTATTTTGTAAATATTTTAATTTTTAATTTTAATATTTTAAACTCAAAATACAACTCCACACTCAAATCGTAACCAAATACATAATTCAAAACTCAATTCCAAAATTATTTTCAAAACTCATAATCAAATACATAACTCAAAACTCTACACTCAAATTGTAACCAAACACATAACAAAAAAATTAAAATATTTAAAAATATTTTTATAAAATAAAAAATATTTTTTTCAATTTTTTTATATTTAAAAAATACAGCACAAAAATGTATGAAATATAGTGCACATTAAAATAAATAAATAAATATTTAAAATAAAAAATATTTATCCTAAAAAAATAAAAGTAAGAAATTTTTTTAATATTTAAAAAAAATAAATCCAAAAAATTTTAAAAGACAACACTCAAATCATGACTCTAAAAATAATTTTAAAAAACAATATATATATATATATATATTTAAAAAAATAAAGTTGTGGTTTTGAGTTTTGAAAATAGTTTTGAATTGAATTTTGAATTGTGTATTTAGTTATGAGTTTTGAAATTAATTTTTGAATTGAGTCTTGAGTAATTTTGAATTATATGTTTGGTTATGAATTTTTAAAAGGGTTTAAAAATTTTGAGTGTGGAATCATAGCCCAAGTGTTTTGTTAATGTAAGTCCTTAAAGCAAATATCAAGAATACTTTGAAAAAAATCATATATTCTTTATTGCTGAGCATTTTTATACGAGAAAATTAGTTTATCATTCCTTTCCAATTTTTAGTAATGAAATAGGCTCATAATATTTTCTTTTGTAGTCTAAAGTCCCTCACCCTCGTACCCTTATATTACGCCTATACTCTTATTCACTTTACACTCTCCTCTCTATCTCGAATCACCAAAACACATACATGCCATTGACGGCAAAGTGTCTGGGCCGTCGTCCGTTAGGTCTCCGGCGTAGGTAGCGTCGCTGGCGAACGGGAATGTGAAGCACCGCGATCTGAGCCGGACCACGACGATCAAATCACTGCAATCTAAGCCGAGAACCACCACGATCTGAGCCTCGATTTCTTGCTTTCTTCTTTCTCTCTCTAACAGTTTGTTTGTCTGTCTATCTTTCTCTCTCTACGCCGTGGTGGAAGGGTTTGGCGGTGGTGGTATTGGTGATGGCCTGCTGTAAGCCGCCGGTGGAATCTTTAGTTGTAGCATCACTCACATGGCCGTCACTCCTCTTGATCTCGTTAAATGTAATATGCAGATTGACCATTCAAAGTACAAGAGCATCTTGTCCGTTTTTGGAGTGTTGATGCAAGAACAGGGGGTCAGGGGCTTCTTCCGGGAATGGGTGCCTACTATGCTTGGTTATAGTGCTTAGGGTGCCTGCAAGTTTGGCTTATATGAAGCCACTACTGGTACTATTGTTGTTGCTGCTGCTGGTGTTATTATTCCTGACTGGTTTAACTAAATAGTTATTGTTGTAAGGGCTTGTTTAACTAAATAGTTCAGGTCTCTCTCTCTCTTCATTTTTAATTTTACTAACTTTAACACTCAATGAAATTTTATTAAGGCAAAATTAGCTAAGTTAGGGAAATTTCACTAAGTCGAATTAAAGATATTTTACTGACTTTAACACGTAGTGAAATTTTACTGAGACGAAAGCACTTAGTGAAATTTTACTGAGACAAAATTAGTGAAGTCAGAGAAATTTCACTAAGCCAAATTAGAGAAATTTTACTGACTTTTGAACTCAGTGCAATTTTACTAAGACAAAATCAATGAAGTCAGTGCTGTGAATGCAGTAGATTATCATGTATTCTTGCTTATACTTTTTACTATTTCTGTTGCAGACTTGTAGTAAATTATTATGTAATGTAACTAGGGCTGGAAACAAAAATCGAGCTATTCATGAAATTGGTTCATTTGCAGCTCATTCAAACTCATTTAGGTTTATGAATGTTGGATATACTTAGACAAGCACCCATACCCGCACTCGATATTTCTCTAGGCAATTTTCTCTGCCCTGTTTAATTTTCTCCGTGTTATTCTATTTTCTCTGGTTTGAACTCAGAGAAATTTTAATTTTCTTTGAGTAATTTTTTTTGCCCTGTTTAATTTTCTCTGTGTTGTTTAATTTTCTTTGGTTTGATGTAATAACCCCGACCTCCGATTAATGCTAAACCATAATTATTTATGCCTAACAGTAATTTAGAAGGAATCCAGAATTAAATTGCATATGTATTGCATTATCTTTGTATTTTTATCTGTTTGCCATAAAATGATTTGTTCATGTTTTATGTTTTAAACTGTAAATTAAAGGCCTTATCGGCGGCCGAATCCGAAATGGATTAGTGTTTTGTGTTAATTAGAATTGATGTGATTTTATGGTAAATTTAGTTGAAATTTGATTTGGTATGATTAAATTGGATTAAATAATGCTAAATCACATTAGTTGAGTATTTACATGTTTGCCACTTAGTGGGCCACCTTTACAAACTTGTGTGGGACTTAATTTACACCCTTGAGGCATCATTTCTTCATCCATATCTCAGACCAAACCGTGAGAGTGAGAGAAGAGTAGGAGAAAATTGATTCCACAAGAATTTTGCTTGATCTTTGGAGATTTGAAGGAAACTTGGAAGATTTGAGCTTCTACACTTAGAATTCAAGACCTAAAGTAGAGATTTCACCTTCTCCATTGTGAATTTAAGATTAATTCTTGCATGGTTCATGGAAGATTAGAGTGTAAAGTCAAGAATTGGTTAAAAATGTTGATTTGAGGCTTAAATCATGCATACATGCACATATTCTTGGATTTTGGAGTTGTTCTTCATGAATTTCCACATGCATGTCCATATTTTTGTTATGGCCCATGAATTCATCCTATTTTTGAGCTCAATCTTACATTTGGTCATGTTTTAGAGCATTGGATTTAAAATGAACACTTGCATGTTAAGCTCTTGTTTTGTTCTTGAAGTTTTATTTGAAGTTGTGTTTAATTGACTCACCTTTGGGCTTGATTTTACAAATTGATCTTTGAAACATCTTATACTATGAGTTTACAAGTGTTTTCCAGAAAATGGGTCCAAGAGGTCGAGTTTTGAGGTGTTCAATGCTTGGTTTGAGCTTGGGAGGCAAATCTGGAAATTCCAGAATTTGGCCTCCTCGCTCGAGCGAAGGATTCCACGCTCGAGCGACCATCGTTTGTTCAGAGCTCTGCTCGAGTCAGAGCTCCGCTCGAGCGTAAATTGTAAGCTCTCAAATTTTTGGTGCACGCATACGCACGCTCGAGCGACGAGACCTACGCTCGAGCGAAGAGCGGTGTCTCACGCTCGAGCAAGCATCGAGTGGGTATCGAGCGTAAAATTTCAACAACTAGTACTTTTGTATTTTTTATAGACCGTTCGAGCGAAAGAGTCTACGCTCGAGCGACCCCTCTGTTTTGACAAGCTCGCTCGAGCGACGGAAGCTACGTTCGAGCGAGACCCCTGTTTTCAGCAAGTTTTGAAAAATATTTTTTAAGACATCTTTGCATCCTCATTCCATCCTAGGCATTCCTAGGCCATGTTTAAGACTCTATAGTGAGGATTTAAGGTTAGAAACGCACTAAGAACCATCAACGTAAGTTTTGTGCAATTAGAATGTGTGTTTCAAGTGTGTGTCCGTTATGTGTTATGTAGGTCACGTGCCGCGTACCGTGTGATCAATCTGCTCCGCCTGTCTGTTTCCAGGCCAACTGTGAGTAATAATTTAGTAAAGTTATGTTCAAACTGTATCTATTTTCTGTGTGATAAAACAAGATCTGTTTTCCGAAATGATATGTTCTGCACAATGAATGATTGTTCAATTTCTGATATGTATTCGTGACATCCTTAGCATCATGTAATATTTGTTAGCTGTTACCTGGTATCGGAGGTTCCTTTATGGAACTTATTTCTGCCTGCACTCTGTTACCCGTACCGGAGGCCCTGTCACCGGGGCTCA